GAAGTTACTTCATAATCTCTCAAGAGAGCTGATGGTTGGCAATTTTTGTTTGGTCTTTCAACTTCTAATGAAACTTGTAGGGTTGGAGCTTCAGGAGCATTAGCTGGTGGTGCTTCTTCAGTTGCAACAGGGACACTATCTTCAAGAATATCAAGGAGAGTATGCCTTGAATTATTTTATCCTTCTACATCCCAATTCCAAGCTTCTTCTTCAGCAAACATAATATCTCTTCTTACAATCACCTTCTTTGTAGTAGGATTGTAGAGTTTGTAGCCCCCGGACCTGTAGCTAATAAAAACTGTCTTCTCGCCTCTGTCATCAAGCTTCTTTCTTCTTTCTGCTGGAATATGAGCATAAGCAATGGAGCCAAACACTTTGAGATTTCTTACACTTGGCTTATAACAAGTCAATGTCTCTTCAGGAGTAAGATTATCAACACACTTTGTTAGTGACCTGTTCAACAAGTATACAATGCATGAGACAGCTTCACTCTAAAAATAGTTGGGCGTACCTTTGGCCTTTAGCATGTTTCTCGCCATGTTAAGTAGCGTCCGATTTTTCCGTTCACCGACGCCGTTATGTTGAGGTGTATAGGGAAAAGTGACATAACGCTTTATTCTTTCTCTTCTGCATAATACTTATTGAATTCATTAGAAGTATATTCTTCCATCTGTTCATAGCACATTGATAAAGTAACCACTTTCCTTCTTAACTAGGGCTTTAAAGCTCTTAAAATAATCAAATATTTTGGATTTTTGCTTCAAAAAGTAGACCCATGTTTTCCTTGTGAAATCACCAATAAAAGTAAGGAAGGAGAGATTATTGCCATTGGATATAGTGTTCATAGGACCACACACATCTGAATAAACGAGCTCAAGAGGCTTCTTTGCACGCCAAGTATTTTCAATACCAAAGGATGATCTATGTTACTTTCTAAGAATACAACCCTCACATAATTGTTCGGGATGATCTATCACGGGCAAGCCTCTCACCAAATTTCTTTGTGCAAGCAACTTCAGACTGCGAAAGTTCAGATGTCCAAACCGAAGATGCCACAACTGTAGGCTGTCTAAAAATCACTACAAATAGTTGATCCCTCATTAAACACCGATGATGGAAGTTATAATCTGACGACTTCCAGAATGCTATAATTTGAAGACTTTCACGTAGATCGATGAAAGTTATAATCCGACGATTTTCGTAATAACTGATGAAAGCTCTAATCAACAGTCTTCACAATCAATGTCAGGAGTTACAATCTAATGACTCTTATATTTTTAAAGAGCTAAGACGAAGATTACAAGATGACGGTCTTTACAACGCTCTAGCAAAAGAGACTACAAATTGACGGTCTCTTCAAATCAAAACGCAGGGTTCATCCCCAGCATTCAAGTCCAAACGAACGGGTCAGACTTGCATTGCAACATCAAAACGCATAGGCCAGATCTGCGTTGCAACATCAAAACATAGAGGTCCTCCCTGCGTTTCAACATCAGAACGCAGAGGTCCTCCCTACGTTGCAACATCCAAACGCAGACTTTATTGCTGCGTTTTCAGTCCAAAACGCAGAACCCAACTCTGCGTTCCAGATCCAAACGTAGAGTTCATTCATGCGTCTCAGACTTAAGATCCAGAGTGAACTATATGCTCTCAGCCACCAAAATAGGCCCAACTCTGTGTTTCAAGTATAAAACACAGAGTTCGGGCCCAGAATGCTATTTTCAGTGTTTGACTCATTCAAAGCACGAACTGAACGGTTCTAAAAAACGTTTTCTCCCCACGATTTGAGAGATTTTCGCCCCACTTAGGAGCAGATTAAGGGGACGGTTACACTCCACTCAACCCTATTATGGAGAGAATTAAGGGGGCGATTACACTCCTTAATCCTCTATAAATAGTGGGAAAATCAACTTAGTTCAGGCCTTGGGTTTTGGCAGAAAAGAAGAGATCTTCAGCTGGCTTTTTAGGGGAATTGCTGGAGCTTTGGAGATCGGAAACAGGAGATTTCTTCATCCTTGACTTACAAACCGATTTCGGTTAAATCAACTCTTTCATAGAGTTTTAAACTCGTTCAGAGTTATTAACTCATCAAGAGTTCTTTAAAACTTATCACGCAAGTTCTCCACTGCGTCAAATCGTGAGGAGAAGACTATGTTCCAGTGAAACAAGACATTCGGATCATCAACGAGAAGCAAACTCGATGCGAGCATTCGAGGGAGGCATCTCATCGCCACCGTGAAGAACCCAATTTTAAACAAAGGGGAGGATTTGCATCAATTCTCTTCTTTTTTGTAATCGGGAATTCAAATTATAATCGAGATTGAGAGAATAAAAATCAAATTTAATTCTTTCATTTTCTTATTGCAAATTTTCCATAAACAACAACCAAGACTAATCTTTCATAATAGCATTGAAGCAATGATAAACATCGTTCTGGATGTCAACTCGAAACATGTGATTATTTGTCATAGGAGTTTTAAGGATAAATACGCCTCTTTTATCAAAGATTAGGAGTTGATTATCAGAGAAGCGCATATCATACCCCTTTTCAAGAAGTTGGCCCATACCGAGTAAATTGTTCTTCGTATTCAGCATATAGAATATATTGGAAATAAACTTATGGTCTCCGTTCTTCAGCTTGATTAACTCGCCCTTTTCTCATCACTGGTATAGTGTTATCATCGACAAACTTGACTTTGGATCACATCGACTCATCCAGGTCCATGGACAACTCCTTCTTTCAGCACATGTGATTAGAGCACCCAGTGTCAAGAAACCATGTGTTGTAGTTTAATTCTTCACCGGCTATCGTGACCATTAATAAAGTGTGGTTGTCTTCATCACCTTTTTCTTGTGCAAATTAAATTTCTTCTCCGGATTGGGAATTATCCTGGTACTTGCACTCATTTGTATAGTGGCCATATATGTGACATATGTAACATTCACTGTTAAATTTATTAAAATTTTATCTACCATGTCCAAAGCCTCGACCTCGACCTTAATAATTTAAATTTAATTGATAATTGCTTCTCTAATTGTCGTCATCTCTTTGATTGTTATTATAACAGCCACGTCCTTGACTATTGTAATATCCATGTCCTCGGTTGTTGTAATTCCCGTATCCTCGTCCTCTGCCACGGGAATTTCCTCATCTTGGTCTCTTTTGTACTACGCTCCTTTATTATTTTTTATAAAAGCTTGGCTTTGAAAAGCTTTCTCAAGGGGCATCTTAGTTGATCTCTCGTTCATGCGTTGCTCGTGAACTTGTAAGGTACCCATCAACTCATCAACTGCCATCTTGGACAAATCGTTCTATTGCCACCACGATATGATCAAATTTTGCCATAAGAGATCGCAATATCTTCTCCACAATTGCTAAATTTACAACCTTCTCCCCGTTTATTTTTATTTAATTTGTCAAAGCAAGTACTCGAGTCATGTAATCTGTGATATTTTCAGCGGGTTTCATCTGTAAAATTTCAAATTGACGCCTCAATATTTGAATCCTAACTTGTTTTTACCTTCTCAACTCCATGGTACGATATCTCCAAAATTTCCCATGCTTGTTTAGCTATAGTTGCTCCGTCGATCTTCTCAAAAACTGAATCATTCACTCCTTGATGGATGTAGACTAACGCCTTCTGATCATTATTCTTGATCTCACTGTGGGCTTTCTTCTTGGCTTCACTTGCGCTATCTGTGAAATTGGCAACTCCGTTCTCTTCAACACCCAATAAATCTTGATATTCAAACAACACATTCATCTGCATTCTCCACCGGTGATAATTCTTTCCATTCAATATAGGAATAGAAGACGATGTCGTCCCGTTTAGATTGTTCACGGCTTTGATACTACTGTTGGAGCAATCAACGGCAAAGTAAATAGAAGTATAATATATATGAGGAGAGATTTAGTGGGAGAAACAAATAAAAAAGCTCTTCTAAACTCTCGGTTACTGTAGCTACAGTATTTTGCACCTTTCTTTTTTCTCTCCTTTTTTCCTCTTAGGTACAAGGATGCATGAATGCCTATTTAAAGGCTTTACAAAGTGTTTCGTAATAGAATTCTAGTATGACTACAATTCGTAGAAATAACTAACTTAAATACTTTTAGAACTATGATTAAATTCAACACATCCAACTGTGAACCTCAGATTGTCATATACCAAATTTTCTTTCATTGGTACTTTTTAATAATGGTTATAAAAACTTTGCTGTCAGAAATTTTGATAGGCTTCCTAACTAGTACAGAGATGCAAGAGCGCATGAAACGATTAGTAAGGATGCGATTCATGAGAGCCCAATAACATCAACAGTAGGAGGGGACCCCTCCCCCAGTAGTTTTGGATACTGTCAAGCTTGAGAGTACTGTACTTGGGTCAATACCATTAATGTTACTGCAATTTTTGGAGGTATTGTATTTGGTAATCTAACAAACTTATTAATTGTAATAAGGACACGCTTGGTTGGTTGTTTGGACCACTAATTCACTGCTCGTGAAGCAGTGGAGCATCAAATTCTTCCCATCTTTGAGAGCTACTGAAATTAGTATAAAAATGTGCATACCAACCAAATAGTGTATAAATAGTATGAAGCAATTATCAACTCCAAACAAGTTTGCAAATGGCATGTTTCTTCAACAACGATAATGACGTACACGGACTAATAAAAGGAAAGAAAGGAGCGGTTTAGGTTTCCGTGGTGCTGTTTTGGGCTTTTTTAAGCTCCTAAGCCTTCTTCGCTTTGAAAGCGAACTTGTTAATAAAAAAGAATCGATTAGACCCCCTCATGCTATAGACCTCATGCCTCAAGGCCTTTTCTTTTTGGCCCAAACCCAAACTAAATTACGCGGATTAATTAAAATGGACCCATAAAAGACAAAAGACTCTTAGCCTGTCCTAAGCCCGAAACCGAGAAGCACAATCGGTTCGGGTATACGATAAAATAAAATAGCAACCGTCCGATCCAGGTTCAGTTTTATCCCCTATTTAACGCTAAATTGCGTGTCATCGGTTTTCGCCGCTGCGTCGTCATCTAGGGTTTCACGATCCTTTGCTTGGGCTGCGGCGGCAAGAGGGGAGGGGAGGAGAGGAGAGCAATCGAAAATGGTGCAGCGATTAACATACCGAAAGCGGCACAGCTACGCCACCAAATCCAACCAGACTAGGGTTGTTAAGACCCCAGGTTAGAAAGATCTCATCTTGTTTCCCTTTTCAATCCAAGTTAGGGTTTATTCAACTTTTTAATCCTCCAAACCCCAGGATAATTCCATCGCCATTTTTTTTTCTTTTCCCGTTCGGGTGGGCTCAACGTTGCCTCCTATTAGCCCGTGGCTTTGTCTCAAAATCAAATCTTGTTGTGTGGCTACTGCCTCTTTTATCGCTAGGGTTTATCCTGCCCCTCTGCCGTCGAAAATCGCGGATATATTCGGAAATCTTTTGCATCGAAAGTTGCAGGGGCGTCGAAAATCGTGGATATATTTGACAATGCAGCTCATTTATTTGTTTGTTGGTTTGGTTTCATGCGTGTAATCAGGTGGAAAGCTCACTTATCAGACTGCTAAGAAGAGGGCGAAGGGCCCGAGATGTCCCGTGACCGGTAAGCGTATCCAGGGGGTATGTGATCTCTAAACATTTGATAATTTGGTAGTTTGCGTTGTATTGTTGTTCGGTAGATGTCGTATACCCAGAATATTCGCTATCGGAACCTTTGTCGTTCTTTTGGACCTTGCTTTGTGACCTTCATATTGCTTTGCTTAAGGTGGCTTGTTTTATTTCATGTTTGTCACCATATTTTACTTCTGTATGTATTTGCTACAAAGCCTTGGGATGTAGAAGTCAAGTCCATACTGTTTGGTCTTAGATTTTTTTAGATAGTAGTCGCCTTGATTCCTCCAGATTCCCATGCACGGACGCACACATTCCAAAACTAACATGTCCATCCGAAAGCACATTGAGCAATTTTGGATTTGGTAGCATTTGAAATGCTTAATTTAAAAGGTGGGGGGAAAATTGTTTTTATTAATTACAAGCAATTTTTATAATTTTGGAAGGTCTTCTCAATTAAGAGTAGCCATCCTCTCCATTTGGAGAGACTATTACAAAATTTTCCACACTCGAACCCCTCACCGTCTACCCTCCCTATGTGTAATATGGTTTGTTCATGTTGCGTATTCAGTTGTAGCCAACCGCCATTAAGTTCCATTCCAGTGCTTTAGAAACTAAATCAATGTATGCAACATCTCAAATGTTCCTCACTGATGTAGATATATGCAGAACGGCCATTTATGTGTATTGTTGTTCTCTGGAATATTGTAAGTGTGATTGCCTACTTCCTATAAGTGTACAGTATGCATTTGTCATTCTCAGTGGGCATTTAAAGATTATACATGATTCAATTGGCTTGTGATGTTGTGCAATAACTTTAGTTCTTTTTATGTCTCTTATTATTTCAGAAATAAAATTGCTGAATTATATTCTTACAGATTCCTCACCTGAGGCCTACTGAGTACAAGAGGTCCAGATTGGCTAGAAACCGCAGGACTGTGAACCGTGCATATGGTGGTGTTCTGTCTGGAAGTGCAGTCAAGGAGAGGTCAGTGCATTTTAATCATCGAGTTATTTATTTTTGTTAACCTTTTTTTTATGTATCTTGAAATATCTCGGGCTGTATCCGTTTAGGATTATTCGAGCATTTTTGGTTGAAGAGCAGAAGATTGTAAAGAAAGTCTTGAAGATCCAAAAGGTGAAGGAAAGGCAGGCTGGAAAGAGCTAAAACCAGGAAATGGAAAATCAAGTGGCCTTTTAATTTTGTTCACCTTGGCAGGAATTTTTGATTTCTTGGATATTACTGCAACGGTGCGGTAGTGTTTGTCACAGTACTCGTTGCATCTTTGGGCAAATCTTCTATCCTTGGCTTGAACGTCTTCAAATATCGCGGAATTTCTAGTTTGTTTCCTTTTGAGTATATTTGTTCTAGGTCTCAACAGTACACATTTTGGTGTTCCTTGAATTATTATATGTTAAATGCTGCTTTTATTTACCTAGTCTTTTGAACTATCTGCATTTGGCGCTATACTATGTAGCACGGACACGGATCCGACACGGCCATCCGACACGCCAACACTAGACAAATCCTAAAAAATACATAGGATACGTGTGTTCGACACGTGTGTCCGACACGGACACGACACGACACGGCTTCATGTTATGCGTGTCCGTGCTTCATAGGCGCTATATGATTTGATTATTTGTTCGATTGCACCCCATTTATTTTATCATATTAAGCTTTCAACTTGTGCAAATAGAGAATTCAAAAACATTTATTTAATCATATTAAGATTTTGTCTTGTTGCACAATCAAGGTTAGGTTTTATTCTGATTCTGCCTCTATGTTTTTTTATAAAAAAAAATACGTGTAACCCATCTTTAATCTTTTAGGAAACTTTTGATATCTCAATTAAATATTTTATTCTCCATTTTCTGTAACATCTTTTCAGAAGGCATCATGATCGGTGGAGTGCAAAGTTTTTATTCAGCAATAAAGAAGAAATTATGATGGAGTGTAAAGTTTTTATTCAGTAATTAAGAAGACATTAAGACAACTCATTTATTTTCACATGCATACAGAATCGAAGTAGTACGTCTCTAATTATTTCTTGAAGTAGTACGTCTCTAATTATTTCAAGCTTTCGACGAGGCCGTTGCCAAGCCAATCTCTCGAAGGACCCAGTGCAGCTCCAGCAGCTCATCGTACGGTATCACCGTGCTCGTCTCTAAGCCGATGAAGGCCTCTATCGCCGACGACAGAACCGGCATCCTCTCCTTATCAAGCATCTGCACACCAGGAACGGCTCCAAGGGCCTTGAGCCCATTTGAGCAAGAGCCCATCACCACATCCAGCAGCCCGGGTTCTTTGCCGTTGATAAATGGCCCTCCGTTTGCAAAGTCCACAGCAATTCCATCCTCCATCGTCCTCATGTGCTCTATGAACTCTTCAGTTGCCTTCTCCTGTGCCTCTCCCTCTGAAAACATGATGGCAAAACTAGTCGGCATTAACTGCGACGAAAAAATGCAGACTACTGTTAGCATGTCATATATTTGACGATGGATGTTTTGAGTAAAATTCGCTTACTTGCTACCCATATTATATTAACCTTTTTGTAGAAGAAACCAGCCCAAAATCTGACTCGAGATTTCATGTAAGGATCCTCTGGGAAAAGAGCGGGATACTTCCAGTTGTCTTCGATGAACTCAAAGATTACCAAGGGATTGGTTACAGATTGTCCATCCACAACAAGGACCGGGACATTTTCATAGACCCGAACGAGGGAGTCGCTCCTGATGTCGATATCGACCTCCACATAATCGTAGGCCACACCCTTGAGTTTGAGTGCGTGACGAACCATAGCGCAATCTGAACTGGCCCAAAATCCATGCAACTTCACCTCCTCCTTGGCTTCTGTCTGCATACTTAAGAAATATTGGCTTCCGCTCTGAAGTTGGTTTCCAATCTGAAGTATTTAAAGAGTTGTGTAGTCTTGTTTGTGAGCTTGGGGAGCAAGCCTAACATTTTGGTCAACTTCGGATCGATTTTGACTATGTAGCATGCTTGGGAAGGAAGAAGCATATGCATATGCAATTAATTATATGCATTGAGTTTGTCAGCATTCTTTATGGAATGGTAGTTCGTTATCTCCGCCAGACCAGCGTGCGCGCGTGTGTATATATATAATTTTACAACCCAAAATTTTGATATCCCAAAATTTACATATTTCAGACTTTTAATGTTTCAAAATTTGGGGGTATCGACGCGTCGCAAAAAATATTAGGTGCCAAAGTTTGAAGTGGTTTAAACTATGAAGTTGAGAATAGTCTTCCGTAGTTATAAAAGAACTTCATAAATGATCGTGATCCAATGATTATTTCTCATTCAGTATCCTCAAATTATGCTAAAGATTTGGAGGAGGAGGAGGAGAAGAAGAATAAGAGCATATCATGAAACTAGAAATATATCAACAACCAATATCATTAATAAAGGTTGCAAAACATATGGAATGCGTTTTAATTTAGCAAAGCGTCTTCTAAATTTCTACCATTTCTCATGCAGCTCTATATTTCTCAACCGGGAACCGATATTTGAATATTTGAATCCACCAGATGCACAAAAAGAACGATATCAGAGAGCGACAAGATGAGAGCTTTGCATCACTGCCTTCAGCGATCCTCAACCGATCCAATCCCCTCAATCAAACTTCTCTCCTCCCTCTCTGAAGCCCTGACAACAAACCCCGATCTCAATCCCCGCCCAAACCCCCGTCCTCCTCCTCCTCCTCAATCATCCAACAGTCCCCCCATCAGACAGATCACCAATCTCAACAATGCCCATTTCTCCAAATCTTTTAAGCATCACTTCCCGAGATCTGCACACCATCAGTTTGATAAAATTCCCCAACCAAACCTCAACTCTGAATACGTTGACCCTCTTAGCGCTTTAACCGGAAAGCAAGCATCTGGTCTCGACCCAGATCAATTCGATTATGGGAATGCACTTTCGACTTGTGCCGCATCCCAGAACCTCAACTTCGGTGAACAGATCTTCTCCCTTGTGATGAAAAATGGCTTCTTTTCCGACGGGTATGTTGTTACCGGGTTAATAGATTTGTTCTCAAAGAGCGGTAGGTTTGATGATGCCTTGAGAGTGTTTGGGGAGAATTATGGTGGCAATGTGGTTTGTTGGAATGCTATTATCGCTGGGGGAGTGAGGAATGGGGAGAATTTGATTGCTCTGGATCTCTTTCGAAGGATGGTATGTGAATTTTGTATGCCAAATGGATTTACATTCTCGAGCTTATTGAGTGCTTGTGCTGTGTCTGGGCTTTTCGAGATGGGGAGAGCTATTCATGGATGGGTGCTTAAATGCAATGTCAAGAATGATATTTTTGTAGGAACCGGTGTTGTTGATCTTTATGCAAAATGTGGCCATATGGATGATGCAGTAAGGGAGTTTTCACGGATGCCAGCACGTAATGTTGTTTCGTGGACTGCCATGATTTCAGGCTTTGTTCACAACGAAGATGCTTATAGTTCTGTTAAAATTTTCAAAGAAATGATACAGAATGGTGTAGAGGTCAATAAGTACACTCTTACCAGTGTACTCCTGGCATTCTCTAAATCTTTCATGGTAAAAGAGACAATGCAAATCCATTGTTGGACATGGAAGAACGGGTTATTTTTTATGGATTTTGTAGTCAAGGAGGCTTTCATCAATACTTATGCCAGACTTGGAGAGCTTAAAATGTCATTGAAGATATTTGAGGAGATGGGCTTGACGAAGAGCCTGAGCACTTGGTCGGCTATGATCTCTGGTCTTGTTCAAAATCAGATGCTGAGAAGATCGGTGGAGCTCCTCAAGAGGATATTTCATGAAGATTTAAAACCTGATAAGAAATGTATCTCCAGTGTTCTAAGCATTGTTGGTGACATAGAATTAGGAAGAAATATTCATTCTTATTCTATAAAAGCAGGGTTGCTACGTGATGTTCTGGTAGCTAGCGCACTCTTCACCATGTACTCCAAATGTGGAAGCATTGAAGATAGTTATGAATTGTTTACACAAATGGATGAAAGAGATAGCATATCATGGACCTCGATGGTTTCAGGTTTTGCTGTCCATGGGCACGCTGAAAAGGCATTTCAGCTATTTAGGGAAATGGTTCTTGAAGGAGTTCACCCTGATCAAACTACTCTTTCTGCTGTACTGATGGCTTGCTATGATTCTCAGTTTTTGATGAAAGGGAAGCAAATCCATGCGTATGCACTTCGTCATGAACTTGGAAATGAAACTATTGTTGCTAGTGCTCTTGTGTCTATGTATTCCAGATGCAAGATATTAGAAAGTTCCAGAAGAGTTTTTGACGGAATTTCATGCAAAGATCAGGCCATGTGCTCCTCCTTGGTCTCAGGTTATTCTACAAATGGTTATAGCGAAGCAGCTCTCTCTGAATTTCATTGTATGGTAGTTTCTGGTTTTGGATTAGACCATGTAACATGCTCATCAGTTCTTCAAGTGTGTGCTAACTTGTCAAAACTAGACTTGGGAAAACAGTTGCATGCTTATGGAATCAAAGGAGGGTTAATGTCCCAATGCGCAGTGAGCAGTGCTCTAGTTACAATGTACTCAAAGTGTGGAAGCATTGATGATTCTTATGAAGTATTTGATGAGATAGAACAACCAGATTTGGTAGCATGGACAGCTCTCATTGATGGGTATGCTGAGCATGGAAGGGGTTTGGAAGCCCTGGGTATCTTTCAACAGATGAAACTTAACAGAGTAAAACCTGATTCAGTAACTTATTTGAGTATTTTATCTGCTTGTAACCATAATGGTTTGGTTAATGAAGGTGTCGCCCACTTTAATTCCATGAGAAAAGATTATGGGATTGAACCAGAGCAGCATCACTATGCTTCTGTTGTTGATTTACTCGGTCGATCAGGTAGGCTGAAGGAGGCTGCAAATTTTATTGATAGAATGCCTGTAGAACCGGACTGGTTGGTGTGGAGCGCGTTGCTTGGTTCTTGTACAGTACATGGTGATGTTGAGCTAGCAAGGTTAGCTGCTAGAAAGATTCACGAGCTAGCACCTCATGAGTCAGTACCTTATATCTCTGCCTCAAAAATCTCTTCTCAGGTGGGGGACTGGGAGGAAGCTGTGAGGATAAGAAATGCAATGAAAGGAGATGGTATCAACAAGGAACCTGGTTTGAGTTTTTTTTGAGCAACAATATACTTACAGAAGTACTAATCCTGAAGGAGGAATCTCTTCACTGTCCTACTAGAATATTCTTTCAAGCATTTCGGCTAAGAATGAAGAATGGCATACTTATATATTTTTTGTCAATCTCATTGGCTTTTGTTGGCGATTAATAGCAATTAGTATGAGACCAGATTCCTTTTGAAGCGGAACAAGCCAGGATTTTAAGAACAGGCAAAGGCCTAAATCTTGGTTCAAGTATCTATGCAACTGAATTTGCTTCTTCTGATTGGTTGTGAAAATCTCATTGCCAATGGTGCACATAGTTATGTAACTGAGTTTGCTAGATCTGATTAGAGTGAAATGTTTCACTGCTCCGCATGAATCTTCCCATCTCTTTAGCTGATAATCAAAGAAACAACAGAGGAGATTGTCTGTTGGTATGAACTAATGGGAAATTTGAGAGAAGATGACATGAGAGAGAGAACATGTCATAGGAAAGATAAATACTTGACATAGAAAATCTTTTCCTTCTCAATCTGTTAGCTTTGCTGTTAACAAGCATTTCTATGATGATGTACAGGAATACATTTGAAAAAGTTTCTATCCCATCTTTTGATTCTTATGCTAACAGAAATGCTAACAGATGAAGGAGTCTCACACCCTACACTACATCTAAATCAAGTATACAATTTGTTGGTGGAGAAGCTTGTTGACATCTCACTCAGGCACGGAGGAGAATCCCATGGCAAGTTAAGCTTCCACTCATCAGAGATATTTGATGGCAGGCTGAAGGGAAATGTCCTCATGGTTCTCCACTGGTTATTATTAACAATCATCGAATTTGAACTCTTCTTCTCTTCTCCACTTCCCAAGTTGCTATTGATCTCTGTAGGCAAATCAACAGTGAACCCATTACACTGTTGTGGCTGACCGAATTCTATGCTTGCGGAGGACTTTTCTACTTCTTCAAGTATTGAAGGTGATAAGTTAAGGAGCATGGATGCCAGTGGCATTTCACTTCCAGAGAACATGAAGTTTGTGGACATATCAACACCTGAAAATGGAAAGGGATATGATCTGCAGTCCATTGGATTATTGGGCTTATTGTAATTTGTTGCATTTAGAGGAGCGTAATTGAGGCCACTTGGCTGTTGCTGGAAACCATTGTTACAGCTGAATTGAATCGATGAACCAGATTCAGTAGTGCATGAGATGTTCTCTGATCCAAACTGGTTGGCGTTCATAGTGTGGGCAACTGAGAAAAAGTCCGGTTCATTGGTCTCAGGAAGCGGAGATACCCAGGATTGGGACAGTGCTCTCTGTGCCATGGAATTTGTCTTCTTGAAGATCCTACAGATCGCCCAGGAATCCTGTGTTTCATCATACAAAGAAGGGTCAGTGTCTCACATCCTTTATCACATGCTCACCTCTCAAGTAACCTGCTATGCGCAGGTAAGTCATGCACTTGCGAAATAAATACTTTTTTTTCTGACTGAAAAGCCAGGTGGTTCTTCTATTGATGAATTATGTGATCAATTAAGCATTTCTAATACATATAAGAAACATAGCTGATAAGGTTATGTATGATTGATCAAAGTGAAAAAAATAAGAGGAAAGTAAGTTCCGTTTCTAGTGTTCTTCTAGTATGCATTTCTATACACATGGTCGTATGTGTTTATGCTTCTATTTTCCTGGTAAAGAATTGCTTTAACGCTCTGAGCCTATATGTACCTTTGTCCAAACTAGTTATAATGTTTTGCAGACTTGTTCAGTTCTGATTTATTTTCTTTGTCTAGAACTACTCGAGTTACCTTGAAACTAGATACCTTAGCGTTAGGAACGCTACAACTTTTTAATGTTTTTCCTTGAATTGGAGAAGTAATTACATCAAGTTTAAGGCTTACATTGACAGGGATGTTCTTGTCCAAAGGTCTTTTAGGCAGTGATGTATCAGTGAGTGAAGGTAGCCTGAACTCATGCATCATCCAGTCTGTCTTAGTGCCTTTCGCAGCTCGGCCTTTGTAGAAAACTAGTGATTTCTTAAGGCCAATGCACTTGGTTCCCTCAGAGGAGTAAATGGGTCTATCTGTTCCTGTGGCTTTCCAGAATCCAGCTCCAGTTACTCGGTTTGGTCTCGCACTGTTCCTATATTTCCTGTCTCTTGGGCAGTAGAAGTACCATTCCTTCTCCCCGGTCGTCGCCAGTTCTGCATTTGTGAAAAAGATGTTAGGGAAACAAAATAAAGTGTCTGCGTCTATTATTTGCATGGTAACTTATTGACCCATCATAAAGGTCGAATAGATTCAAAGATAATTAAACATGTCTAAGAGGAGGAACTATAGAGAACTAAACTATGGTAAAACTCTTTTATAGATGTATTCTATCGAAACTCTGAACTATGTTTGCCTTAAAGTCCTCAAGGTATTTGAAATGAAGAAGGCTTGTGATTGGGAAAGCTCGTTGAGCTTGTCTGATAAAAAGAAACACTTGGTTATTATCCAATACTTTTGAGAAAATATTCTGACTTGATATCAAGCAGAAACTATTAATAAACTTTTTGCTAAGGTAGTAGATTCCCTAAAAGGACTGAAAACAACACCTTTAAAAATATCTTCACTAAAAGGACTGAAAACAACACTTCTAAAAATATGTTATGCGAAGAACCTAAAGGACATATATTATTAATGGATAGAAAACCCTTAAACTAGGAACCAGTTTCAAGGATAATTGAAAAGAGTAGTGAACATTAAGTAAAAGATGCACAGACAGTTAGATAGACAGACAGATGGATATGGGGTAGGGATATGGAGGAGTTAACACTTACCAAGTAAAAGATCAATTTTTTATACCGACAATAGAACATGAAGGGGAAGTAGTCGTAAGCCTTATAAAATGTCTATGAAAGAAGAATACATGATAAAGATGACAGCCATGTGTAGTAGGACATGAAATATAAAAGCCATGTACACAGGACAAGAAAAAGAGATAAAAACTAAGGGAGATAAAGTTCAATGATTTTAAAGAAGTTGACATAAGCTATGCTAGAGATAGATTATAACTTACTTGGAAGGTCCCATGGATCATATTTGTAGATATCCAATTGCCTGATTAGCTCTATGGAAAGAGGCTTCTGCTGTATCTTTCGCTTCAAATAAAATCCAACTAGTTCCTCATCTGTCGGATGAAACCTGAAACCTGGCATCATCACTTCATCTGCCTTCTCCATATCACTCCTCTCATCCATCTCTTTCTTCCCTTGATAAGATTTTCTTCTAAGCTAAACAAGACCCTCAAGTGGTAGTGTAAAAACGGAAAAGATTAAGAAGGGAATGACTTGAGCTCTCTACAAGATCTTGACTACAAATCTTTTAGCCCGACATCACCTAGAAAACTAGACAGGACCAACTAATGGAAACCTCTAAATTTTCTATAAGATGGCTGAAACTCTCAGAGGAATCTGTGATGAGCTCAAGAAACCAAACTCCCACAAGACCACAGCTCATTCAGTTCAATGAACTCATGTGCTCCCTAATAACCTGGCGAACTTCTTGGTCTTCTGTGATTAATGTCGAAGAAGGAAGCCAAAGCAGTTGCTCTTATAAACAAACGGTCCAGCTGGTTAGAAGGAATACCAAGGTGCCAGATCAGCAAAATTCATCTTAAAAATTTCTCCTTCTACCCAATTTTATTGTTTAAAATCCCATGAAAACGATCTCAAAGGCTACAAATTTAGCAGCATATGGGGATTTTCATCCTTCCCTTTTCACACTTATAATATGTCTTTTCAATGGAGTTTAAACAGATTTTTAATACATATAAAGACAAGGTTAGCCTCTAGGCACGCCTGCTGTACAATCATCCTTGATTTATCTGTGCATGGGAACTGAACAGCTACACCTCCCAACACAATAAAATAGTCTAAATGTATATTTCAATCCCAAGGGTCACTTCAAATTCCTCTGATATACTCTTTTTATCAATTGAGATATCCCTTTAGTCTCTCCTGATCCAGAATTCCATGACATATATTTCTTAAACTTTTTCCCCCCTTCAAATGGGCTTCTAATCCTCATTTGTTTTCACATACATGCCCTCTTCTTTTCAGTGGATATGTGGAAGCTTGTGGAGATTCTCCAACTCCAGATGAAAAAAAAAAAACTTTAAGGAAATGATTTAAACACTACAAATGTAGAGACCGTTAAGTTTGTATTGTAATACAAATCAAGTGGGCTTCTATATGAGAACTGTTCAACTTGCACATACCCAATTCTTTTAACTAAACCAATAATGTTACAGTGACAAACTTTCTTAGAACTTTTGGTCTATAGGTGTCTATAGCCGTTTAAGGCGTTAATTGATCGATGTCCTTGGATAGTAATTTTGTAAGTGAAGGTTGATGGGGGAGGTGAGGTAATGGGAAAGTGATGTTCACCTGTAGCTTTCTTCTCTGTTGGCATACAACATACTGCCAAAGGGTCAAAAACTTACTTATACTTAAATGAGACCTTTGTCAATTTGACAGATTTGTAGTCATATCTGTTTTATGTATTACTACATGGTCTATAACCATATACAGATTAGTGTACTATTTTGGCGACTCAAGCATCTGTTTGAGAGTGTCAACTAAGCTGCCTCGAGCATTATATAAATAACATTTCTCCATCAGGGTTTGTCTGAAATTTTCCAATAGTATATTATAGCTGACTGCAGAAGTACTTTTTGAATGGAGCTAATTAAACAAAATTTTAAGCCTTTAACGAGTAAAATAATATTTTACTGTTTTAATCTTCTAGTAGAAATTTTACTGTTCTACATGTCGGTCATGTTTGCCTTTTTATTCAAGTGCTTGAGCTTGGAGGACCATTAATATCAAATTGATACCTATATTTCTTGTCATTCTTCTTCATTGTTTTTGGGAATTCATCAGTTTACACCACAGGAAGTTTACAAATAAGGCCACCTAATGAAATGGCTGTTGTCAAGGACATCTGACTCATGGATATTTATGGGGATCTCCCTCTGTTTAGACCATATTTCCATGAAATGGCTGTATAGCAGCAGTAATGTGTAATGGTCTAATCTTTTGCAGAAAGGACATGGATGAGTAGTTGAAAATCAAGGGAGAAAAGATAAGCTGAACAGGGTACCTGGTTACTAACTGTAAACTTCAATATTTGATGAATGATCATCTTAAATCAAATGCTATATCAATTAATATCAGCAAAGTTGAAGCCTTTGACTTCTCCAAAAAAACACTCGTACTGCACTTAAGACCTGTTTCTTCATTAGTGCTCTGATTCCCTATCTTCTTCGATCGTGCTATTACTTCAATGCAGAATGTATACTAATGGGATGAAAGGGTTAATGACTCGACATGTTGCACCATTGCATTTCCTACAGGACCAACTTCCCGTTTATAAATAAAATGAAACATACCCAGCCATAGTCGTTAACCTATTGGGTTTATGGTCTAGCTTGACAGTTACACACAGTATGCTACTATGCTTGATGCGTGCACTTTCTTGTCCGTAGAAAGGTTAACCTAGTTAACTGTTTCGTTAATGGATTCATTTGGATCTACCGCTGTTGTGTTTTGAGGAAAATCTAGCCAGAAAGAGGGCAGGAACCATTTTGAGCAGTTTTCTAGGGACCAAGATTTGCTAACCATGTCTGCCAAAGGGTGAACAAGGACAGAAGCTTCTAATTAATGGTGGGGTTAAGGGTCAAATTCCATTATGGGGACCCCAAACCCTAGTTTAAGTTCCCCAAGTGTTGCCCTCGTTTTGAACCCTTCTTGTCTGTTGCTTGACCTTGGGCTTGGACAAATCCAACACCACCCAGGCGTGCAACCCAAGTTAAAAAATGAGTCAAACCCTTCAAACCTAAGCTTTCTCTTCTCTTGGTTTCTGATCACCATCCCCTCTCAAAATTACCATGTTTCCAATGTAGAAAACCCACCTCATTTAATCAAACTGATTAATTTATCATCAGTCGGCTCAAATCGTAGTCTTGCTATAAATGAATACGTAGCGCCGTAGAGTTAGAAATAATTAAACGTGACCTTGGGGTTCAGGATTATATCTTGGATTCCAAACACCAAGTATGGTGCAAATTGTTTGGGATGGCAGCGTGTTGTCAAGATTTAGATGAAGACTGCGGGCTAAATGGTCTGAGTGTATACTGTCATTTTCTTTACAGCGATACGTGATGATTGATTAGAGCTTCCATTTTGAGCGTATGCTCGTGTTTCCTTTTCTTCTTTTAATAGTGGAAACGTAAAATGAGATTAGGCAAGGATGTACCATACAAAACTACCAAGTAGATAAGATTCGGTGCTGATTGATTGATATATGATACATGCATTCTTAAGAGGAAAATAACATTACCTCTAATAAGAATAGTCATCATCAGGTAAAGATTTGTATGCACATTTAGTTCCCATCTATTTTGCTTAGTATGTACATAGTCATCATCGTGTGAATGTTCATTTTCGGAGTACTTTTTGAAATAGAACACATCAGGAAGATTCTCTTCGTAGAACAGGGATTGGTTTATGTACCAATCTCCCTCAGTAGTTGATTTCGGAAGTAAAATTGATAACTGCAGTTGATAGCGATTGGATACTTGGTCTCTATTTTCTATCCTGATTGTTCACATCAGCACTTGAGATGCAAATCAAAGCTATTGGATACTTGGTCTCTATTTTCTATCCTGATTGTTCACATCAGCACTTGAGATGCAAATCAAAGCTAATCTACAATCTTTTAATTAGAACGTCTGCTCATGACAAGTATTAGTAACAGATGTGGGCAGGTTAGGTTCTTATTTGTTATTGTTATGGTTAATTGCAGACACACTCCATGATGTATTATGAGGGTGTAACTATTTCTACACCCTAAGCTAATTTTAATTAGCACTTACACTTCAGAACTCCAGCTTACATTGCTTTCTCCTGTTTGATTAGACATGGATATCTACCTGGTTCAGATGATGGAAGTATTACACCACAATAGCACGAAGGGATATGTCCGTGATTTACCAATTATTTAGGAGAATGAGAAGGGACTACGAATTAATTTAGATAGCATGGAGTCTGGGCTTATCTTGATGAGAAATGGATTGGTTGAACGACGATCGCCATGTAGTTGGTCAAAACGATAGACAGCTGATCAATATAGATCATCTTTTGCTTAACTAGTGCAGGGGAAATTGCAGTCATCATGATCATTTTGATGTTGTTTGGTATTATAGTTAGTGAGTTATCTTAAAATTTGAATTGGTGAGAGTACTTTGATTTGAATTAGTGATTTGAATTGGTTAGACTACTATGAATTATGTATGCTCAGTATTAATATCCGTTTACAACCACCAATCCTTTCGTCAAATGTAAATAGGTCATCTAATGATATTTTTAATGATTAAATTATTTATTTATTCTACTCGTATTTATTAATCCTAATAATGACACAGTTTGTGTGCACGAGGCAATTAATAATACCGGCATTAAAAAAAAAGAAAATGACATATTTTTATTGAAGAACCCGAAAGAGGAGGTTATGCGTGTATGAACGGGCAGAATATCAACATATGAATTGGTATTTCTTAATCAAGCTTAAATCCTCCCTAATCCTCGCGCTTTACATTACCAAACCATTGTTGACCCCCTAACTCTCGATAACAAGCAATAAGAAAAGCATCTAGATTAAACCATTCAAAGAAATACATAACTTGCATTCTGGCATCTATGTCTAGTATAGTCTAATTACGCCTATAATGGTAATAAATTTATGTGCCAAGTTGAGTACAAATTTTCTATACCCAAATCCAATTCATGAATTGTGAAGTCTTCCCATTTATTAGTGTGCTTGGTGTTAGTGCTCACACTCAAAACAATACATGTTTCAATGTACGATGACATCTCTCTCTCTCTCTCTCTCTCTCTCTCTCTCTCTCTACTAACACCAAATTTATACTGCAATAAGATTAGTCATCACTTTGCAATGCTCTGAAGTCCATGACTTCAAATGCTACGATGCTTTCAATTCACTCAAACGTCCATTGGGGCCATATTTTTTTTGTTATTTTTAAAACATCACTTTGACAACAACCCCCCCTTTGAATTACCCGAGAATAATAAGATTTCTCCTTATAATATTATTCTTTTTGTTTTCCAAATCATTATGCAGACCAAGAAGGACAAGGGCCCAAAAGCATCTTAAACCTCATGACTAATAGATTTCGTGATGGAATCTATGAAAGGCACGGGGGGGATTAATTCAATTAGTTACTGGGTTGCAATTAATTCAGAAAGAAACCCCCTTGCAGCATGACAGGGACTGTGGATTTATACGGCGCCAACGTATGATTAGAGTATGATTAAGCATAATTCTACATGCACGGACACGGTTTGTTCTGGTTCGTATACTACACGTTTTAGTCCTATTAAATAAATTCCGTTTGAGAATAACATGAGCTCAGATCAATACGTTTGAAATCCAATATTAATCCTGAAAGTTATGGATATAGATGCTGATTGCGATATTAGAATTTGACATTATGTTTTCTTCTTTTTTTTTTTTGGTCTTTGTTTTTTCACTCTACTGGTTAGATTCCTTTATGCTGGCCTGTAGCAATGATTAGCACGTCTCAATATCAAATGTATAATACTGATCAAACTCTTATTGTTTGCTTTTTTCCCTCTCCATTATTCCCCTCTCTTTTCAATTGAGACATTGAACTTGGATCATGTCGATAACCTAGTATCTAAGCCAGGTGCCAATGACTTCTCTTCTTCTAGATTGATGATAAATGTGACTTGGTACCAAGTTGCTCCATTGAACTTGGTAGTGATGCGGATTGATCCGATCCCTACATTTACATTGGAGTAGGTAAAAAATGGTTAAGACTCTATTTTCGAGTAGTGATGTAGAGGCCAGATCAGTCCATATCACTACCAAGTTCCATAGAGCAACTTGATACCAATGTTCTTCATATGTTTTCTGAGTCTTGTTTTTTAAAATCGACCATTTTTTTCAAAAGATGTCTATTTTGCTAATTATTTAGCAAAACGTTCTATTTTACTAAATAATTAGCAAAAACGGACTATTTTGCAAATTTTCCCGCACTGAAATGCATCAGATCATTCTGGTGGATGCTTCAAATAAAACAGATTTATTAGTCCCTCCAAGTTCAACACCTTTCTTTTGGGGACACGCAAAGTATCACAGAAATATCTTTTCATTTCTTTACTTGCCTGTTTTTTGTCCTTTTTTTTAAGACTGATAATATATACATATACAATAGATTTATGTGGCAAAATACTGGGGGTGCCCTTGCACTCTCTTTCACCATTTATCGTGGCGTCTTTAACTTCTTTTTGACAATTAACAGCAAAATGTTACGAGGATTGGTAAACTTTCACACCCACTTTCATTCAAGTTGCAAGCGCCTCGCTTTTTGTTGCAGCTAGACGAAATAGCTGGTCATTTCAGGAAGGTAATAAGATGAAATTGCATGCTTTTTTTGTTAACAGCCGGTTCAAATAAAAACTGTGTCATGGGGTAAGGCTAAACCGTGGATCGATGGACGATGATGACCGCGCAAAAGATGCACATAGATACATATGCGCGTACCAACCGCAGATACAGTTTCTCTTTTTCACCGATAATTTCTTCAATTTCTATTTAAAAACATAGGAAGCACTTTCATTTCTCTACTTTGAACTATTCTATGCTTCAGCATCTCAATGTTAAATTACAGTGTGATACCAAACGAGAGTCCTGGCAAAGGAGGAGGGGAAAAGGAAGAAGAAGAAACATCTTTGTTTTGCATCGGGTACCTGCACTTTCAAGAGCGAGCAGCCAGTCACGCCCATTTTGCTTTCCAGCTCTAGTTTTACATTGATACTTTATCATCTCAGGTGCGCCCGGTAACCCCACGTGTCGTAAATAATCATTTTCCAAACGATACCAAATCGAACACGCAGCTTCGGCATGCTGTATGTCAAGAATCAAGATGCCTGCAACAGCTCTCTCAAATCATATCCTTGGAGCTGAAAACACCAGAATTAGAAGCAGTCAGTGTTGGACCCCTGCTTACTGAGAAGAGCACGTAATATAGTTACAATGAACCTGCAAGTAGGGCTGTAAAAGAAATAACCCTAACCGTAACCAAATGGAACATTAAAATTGTCAAATCCAAATCCGAATTCAAAATTTCTTCTCGAATCTGACTATAAGTGCAAATATCCTTCATATGTTCTTCGAGTACTAAAATATATTTTATTTAAATATTCTACAGTTTACGTATATATAATTATCTTATTAAAAACTTACTTACATTTGATTAAAGATTTAGATTTTCTTAATAATAATTAAATTCATAGTTGCAAACTGATCCTTTATAATGATGTATAAAACCATAAATTTATGTTTGATTAAGAATTTGATTTGAGTCACCAAGTTTCTTGCAATACGTTTGAATCCTATATTAAAAGTATTAAGAAAATCAAAACATAACATCACTACGCAATACAAAATGAACCTATATTAAAAAATATAAAGAAAATCAAAACATAACATCACTACGAAATTCAAAATGAACCTATATTAAAAAATATAAAGAAAATCAAAACATAACATCATTTATGTAATGACATAATTAATATAAGGAATTAAATGTATATAAAAAGAAATGTTATAAGTAAGTGAATTGAATATGTAAATGCTCATACTCAAGTTATTTACTATACAAACACCAAATAAGTATTTGAATTTATCTTATGTGATACTTCCAAATTGCAATTGCACAAATACTTAGACAAATAATTAAGGAAAGCATTTGATAATTACTTGATAAACTCCAATTACTACTAGAAATCGCGAAACATTTGATAAGGCTTACATGTACACATAGAATTACCAACACCAAAAGACCATTGTATGTAGAATTCAAGCATTCTGGACTCAGACAAATCTAAGCTTATATTTACAATACCTTCCTTAACCCTTCACAGAATTCAAAATTTTAACAGTCTCTTCTTTTGTTAAACAGGTTTGTGTATTTCACCTTTTGCAACATTATTCACACACTACTAAAGTCAAACATGGGTAACCATGTACAATAATTTACCTGAAGAAAAGTTAGGAGTAAAATCACACCCGAATTCCAGAGTGCATGTATAACGATGGGAGTCAAAAGATTTCGAGTCTGAGCATATGAAAGCCCTAGAGCAATCCCTGTTTTAATACATGATGATAAAGTGAGTCACTCATTAGTTTATGATACATCTCTATGAAAAGATGTTGAGACAAAATCATCTCTACGAACGTGTATAGTTTTGAGTAATTGCACTCATATGCAGAACCGAGTAAAATATAGATAAGCTTTCAATCATTACAGATAATATCCTGAACTGATATCTTCATTTGTCATCTGACCTCCTTATGGAGTACAATAAACATGGAACATGAAATCAAAAGGTTGAATAGAATTAAAAGGCTTGTGTTTAACTAAACCAGTTTATTAAGATAGTCATTGGGCCGCTTATTAAAAAATGCAGATTGCAGATCTCATGTCAAGAAAGGCAAGCGATATTATAGACTATGTTCTTGATGGTTTCATCTCATATCTATGGAAACATAAAAGGAAGAAATCCCTCCCATCGCAACAGAAAAATAATGCATACAAAGGTGAGAGAAGTCCAAGAAGGACTACCCGGAAAGTTTAAAGAAGTAGAAAAGTATACTAGGAAAATTGTACATGCCTGTACATGGCAGATTTTTTAACTCATGTGACGAGTGGGTTCTTATAAGTCTAATTCTAATCACATGTATTTACTGCAATTATTAGCTACTTGTTGGTTCCTTATTTCTCTTTAAAAAGCATACAGGAAAAAGCATATTTTTTATATTGCTGCAAAATGCTGACACCTTCTGAAGTAACAAATAGAAACGTAACAGTTAGCAAGTTGAGAAAAAGAAAGGAATGAGATTATAGGGAAAACAGGGCATATCGTTAAAAGTTGTTTAACAGTGTTACAAGCTTTCAATGAAGTATTTAGCTTTTCAAGAATGACACCTATGTAAAAGAATCTTACAAAGATCAACTTAGCCTACAGTTGAAATTAATGAGATATTCACACACCAAAATCTATGATCTTTTTTGTCTATTCCTCTTCAAATTATGTGCAAGTTCTCTTATGGACATGTGATACTTAACAATTCAACACAGAGAGAATGCATTCAATGATTTATTAGGCCCTCTTTATATAAGCTTACAAATTCCAATTTCTCAAGAAAATTGATCATATAGAATAAGTTTCCTGATCACAGTGTATAGAGAGTTAAATAAAGGAAATAACTAAAAGAATCAGCTGCTGTCCATAAACCGTGAAATTTATGAATGAAATTACATGAATATTGTTAAGCTTGAAAACATTACCCAACGCAAACAGCTGAGGAAATTCTCCAGGTGTGAGATGAGCAAGAGCAAATACTGCTGCACTGATAAGGATAGAAACTGGTGATGGAAACCTATAAAAAGAAAAGAGTACGAAAAACATTAGAAGGCTTCAAAAATAGTTAATCAGTGCATCACAACAAAGAAGAACAAGCATGTAAAATAGAATGATTCATAGCACTTTTTTTATTGTTCCTTAAAAAAGTAAAATTTTGAAAGCTTTAGAGTTGGAAGTTTAAAATTTTCAAGGTTTTGAGTATTTTCTGGTCAATTCTAGGAAAAAGGCGTGGGCTTAAAATACTATAATCTAATCAAAAGTGAAAATCATAAAATTTACACTCAAAAGTAATAAAAAAGAAACTCAAGTATCTGGTTTTGACGAATTCTGAGATTCTTTTACCCCAGTCCTTCACCTGATATATACAAATCACAGATTGCACTTTTCTGAAGCCACCAAGGATTATATATGTTTTCTAATCCATGCATCTAAATGCACACTAACACAATTGGCAAAATTGACTTCTTACGGATGGAGTCACAGCTCTTAACATATAACTGAAATGAGACAGGACTCTTACAGTATCCTATATCCTGATAAGTATACTGAAAAAGAGCACCCAACTAGAGGGATCCACATATTCATTGAGAAGAGCCAACAAAAAAGTCTAAACACTAAACAGATTAAACCATAACAAGATCTACACATGTTCACCATAACAACACAACCAAGCCTAACTGAAATGCAAGCTGAATGTTATATATTAAGATACACAGTTTTCACTTGAAGAATCTGGAGGTAACTAACAGTCGACTAGAAAGTAAAGAACAGAAAATGACTAGTCATTTACACAGTATTAGCAGGAAGTTTGTGGCGGATGTTTTTTAAATTAAAGAGGTTGCCATATCTATTTTAGGATTCAGAGCCTTAAATTTTCAAGTAAAGAGAAGAAGGCTACCACTTAGTCAGTGAGGCCACTAGGAAACCCCGGAATACAGTCTCCTCCAGAACTGGTGCTAAAACACCTGTAATGCCTATTAAACAGGCAGTACTGCCACAGAGGCCAACAAACTAAATATATCAGAAATATCAGTCACAGCACAATCACCCCCTATTACTTTCTTTCACATCCTCGGAAAAGCCAGAAAGAAATACCTGATACCAGAAGAGCCAATCAAGGGTAACAACTGAACTAGGGCATCAGCCTGAAAAGTCACAAATAAAACATAATCACATTACAATAGAAGTAAGAAAATTGTATTCATTCGTCATGACCCCTAAGCTGGCCATATGAAAGTACTTTACTTGTCCACTTCATCTTCTAAAATTGCTTGTAGCATGCATCTAACCTAAAAGCCCACAGATAATGTGATTCCTTTATTCTCCTTTTCTCAATAACAGACTGGGTTGCCGTAGATCTAAAGTACAGTTGTTTCTTACAGTTACATTGTCTCCTATGGACTTGAAATTGTTACCAACATTATTGTCAAGAAATGCAAAGCAGATAACCAGATCAAGAGATGAATTTAATGAGGTTGCAACATTACTGGCAGTTTATACAGTAATAAGTGAGAAATAGTAGACCATATGATCAATTAACTGGCCATAATCTTGCCCAGACAAGACTATATGACAACTTGATAGGGAAATATGGCACAAAAATATGTTTAGATAACAGCCATCAAATTAAGGCTGCAGTGAGTAGTGAATACTCGGCCCTAATTCCACAAAACATAATGCAACCATCACATTTATCAAATGTACACAAATAAAAATTTTAATATGATGTGAATACTGCCTATAACCTCTCTTTGTGGTGGGTCTCCATTAAAAGTGGTCAAGACAGCTCCTGCTAATGCAACAGCAATAATTGCCCCGCCAAGGCCAATCCCTGCCCATAAAAGCCAGCCATTTCGCAAACTGAAAGGTTCCTTCCAATCTGAAAATTTTCCATCACGAGCAGCGAATCATCAGTTTCCTTATCCTCTGGAAAATCTTTCTAATTTCTGCAATTCATAACTTGCAAGTTCACCTTGTTGGTTATTGTCTATGTAAGAGGATCAGGCAGAACTGGATATCATAAATAAGTCTTAAGACTTCAGTACCTTCAACAGAGAAAAATTCTCTGGATGGAATAACCAGCATGTGACAGACCTATGATCCAGATGTCTGAATTTCAGAAATTTAGCTAAGGTTCAGAGTAAATAGAATCCCAATGAGACAGAATATTGATTAACAGATTCGGCCTTAAAGTGATTAGGCTTATGAAGGGCTACAAATTGACTCAAACACAATGTTCTTTGTGCGAGAGAGGAGACTTGTGTGTGTGATCGGGGTTATGGAGAGCTACAAATTGACTCAAACATAACGTTCTTTAAAAGATAGAATAACAAGACTTCTCCTGTGGCAGAGAGGAGATTTTGTGTGTGGATGGGTGTGGGGGTGTTTCTTTTTTCTTTTCTTTTTTTTTTCCTTTTTTTTTTTTTTGGGGGGGGGGGGTATCGGTGAGCGGTGAGAAGGAGATTATGCCTCTAGAAGACCAAGGGAATGTGGTTAGGGTCTCTGAAAAAGGGAGGATGCTACACTGACAAGGATGAGAGTTTCATAAACAGATGAGGGCCTTATCTGATACAATGTCCTCTCTCCAAAATAAAATTAAGTCAAGACTATCCAGAGATAGAATGAGAATTTAACAGATGGCATGTTCACATTTCACTCATGAGTTATCATGAAAAATCTCTGACATGGCTCTTCCTAAGAACGTACGCACACCCCTAACAATGTTATGGGAGAGGCAATGACAGGCCTAGCATGGAATCAAGGGGAAAAAGATACATCTACTACACAATAGGAATAAGATATGATGGTAATGGCATCAACATGCTAACATAAACTATTGGTAATAAACAACCTGTTTCGTATTCAAAACATATACCTAACAAACTAGCAAATCCGTGTGCTGTGGCATATAGACAACTATAAGAGCTTAATTTGCCAATTGAAATAGATTCTAGGTTTCATACATGAAATATGTACTTTACATCTAGAAGAAACATACCATAGCGAAAAAGATCATCAGGGAGTGGCTGAAATCTGTTGGTAATGCCATAGACAACTCCTAGGACAACAGCTGTCACGGTACTAGAGAGCGAAAGAAAAAACAAGATGTAGCAGATTAGGTATATTTAAGAAACTACAAGGATTTATTATTATTTAGACACCCCAAAAAAAAAGGATGTTAGCACATACAATTGGCCGGCAAAAAGAATCTCTGCCTTCTCATCTAAACTCACATCACCACCCTGGAAACCTAGATAAGGCAAAGCCGATGCTTCAACCAACCCTGTCAAAGCGAAGCTGTCTGGAGAATCTTCAGGTAATATTTTTCAATAATCAATATATTCAGACAACTAAATGATTAAGAATGACAGCAATGCATGACAATCTCGAAAGATATGATAACAATTTCCTGAATAAATGAGGAGAGTGATGTTGTAACTAACGTAACTTGTAATAGTCAGGACACAAGTTCAAAGTACACTACAAGTAACATTGTCAGAGGAACTCTCTCTCCTATAAATGGAGGTGGACCACCTTATATCAGAAGAAATTCCTTGGATTACAACTATGAATTAAAGAAAAATAATGGATAAAAAAACAAGGCAATGCGGAAAACAAATTCAAGCATCTGGATATGAATTTATTTTTTGAGTTATCTTTATGTGAAAGACTCAAGGTTCACACTCTCTTCCACTATATATCAACCAAAGATTAAAAACCATCTAGGATAATAATCATTAAAAGAAATGATATATAAGAAAAAGAGGAGAGTCTTAAGTTACTCGTGAAACCCTCATTCAGTGTGTTTGAACATAGATGGATGAGATACCTTACTCCACATGAAACCATAGTGAGTAGAACAGTTTGCCACTGCCAAGGAACATACCAACGCTCAAGGATGGGCCAGTTTAAATCAGAGCCCTGCACAAAAGGGAAATGGAAATGAGCACTTCACAAAGTTGCAAGTCACTCCTGAAACATGAAATGCTAAAACCTTTACAATGCAAGATGCTTCAAAACTTTAAACGTTGTCCTTCTGGAAGAAGCATGACAAAAAAAATCAGGGACTCCTTCAGAAGCACGTACCCATTGTTGGTAGATCGCACAACAGGCATCTAGAGAGGCTAATAAGGAGGTGAAACTCCATGCAGGCATATGTCTCCTAGAGTTTATGAGGGAGCTCAAGGAAAAAAGAAATCCACTAGTGCTGTATGGAGAAATCGAAGCCAAACTTGAAGGTTTATCAAACCCTTAATGCTACCAGGTAAAGCAACAGGATTGAACTTATTGAGTCTTGGGCTTAAATGAGGAATATCAAATGAACAGGTGCACTGTAGTAATGTGTGGCTATTCACATCAAGGGTTGCCACATACTCCCTCTATGTTCAATCTCCTAGCGAGCTGAATAATTGGCCACAAGCACAAGTATCCATTCATAATAAGGTAATATGAGAATTTTCTATGTATCATCGTCCTAGTACCACCAATCCAGCATGTCTAACTACTAGATTTTTACATGGTTCCTATGCTTTTTTGCTTGAAATTATTGAAAACATTACATTCAAAGCACCTTTCTTATACACGATTAGTGTAAGATTGTTACCTTTTGGGGCCATTACACGTCACTTAGAGTGACACCCATCTCGGTCAAGACTCCTCTGGAAATAAATTTCCTTTGAATCAGTTGTCACTAACATAAATGTCATTTGTACTCAAGATAATCTTATTAAAAAAAAAGAAAGTGGTCAAGTCCTAATGTGAACTTAGGTTCTGGGGAGAGTTCAGTCACATATCACCCAATCTCCTTGTAGCTAAAATTTACATGAAGGAATTAAAAGTGAGTTAAAGATTAGGATGTCTTTTTGCGTAAATTAGAGAGAATTTAAAAAAAAAAAAAAAAAACTTTCGAGTAAGTTTATCATTGCTAGAGATAGACCTCAGGGTAATCTCTAGACCTTTAAAATAAGTGGTTAGATTGCCACAATCTTCAGTGGTGTTGGTCAATAACTTGAACTTCACGAGTTCCACCCCAAAACCACCCAGGGGCAAACCAAGCCAGACAGGGTGTTAGTGTTACACAACGGAAAGGGATGAAAACAATCGAAAGTGTAAAAAGTTAAATATATTCTGAAGTAACAAACGATCACGCGTATATGGGGACTGCCTCTTGTATCCATATCAAACCCCGAGTGAAAGCAAACAACGATCACGCGTGTGGCGTAAATTAGAAATGAGTCTTGCACATGATCACTCGTATAACAGGTTTCACCGAATTACAAAACAGCAAAGAACGACTTGTATTCTTTCTTCTTCTTTTTTTCCTTTTTAGTAACAAGAAATGATCTTTGATCCGCAACAGAAATTAAATCATCCGATAGATAAAAAGGCGGTACCTTTTCAGTAGAAGTGGCTGAGAGGTTCTAGAACCTCTATTGGACCTCAAATTGCTATTTCTAGCCATGATTGGTCTTGATACAGATAGAACAGAAAATTGAAACAGTGAAGGAAAGAATTGAGTGAGGAAGCAAGAAACAGGTTCAAAATTTAGGAGAAGAAAAGATTCTCATTCTTCCTCATTTTGATCTTTTACAACCTTCTCTTTTATACAATTTACAGCTGAAACTTGGCCTGTGCACGTGCACGTACAGTGTTGTGCTGGCAACTGTCTAGCAGACTAACTGAATTCAAGTAACGACTAACTACTAATCCATTTATACACTAAGTCCTGGAACTAAAACAACTCATGTCCAATAACCTGCGGTCTTTGCAAATCAACCCCGTATCAGTCAAGCTTTTGCATATCAGTCCACTTTGCTCAATCCTAGCTTCAACTCCTGTAATTCCATCTCAGCTCCGATAGACATTTCCTTGGGTTCCCCAGCTCTCATCTTCAGCATCTATTGAATGATTCATTTTCTGTATTCCAGCAGCAGCATCTGCAGCAGCCACCTGACAAATATCAGCACCTGACAAATCCTCCCACTTAAATTGGACCTTGCCTCAAGTCAAAAGAAGGAAATTTCTTAACCACGGTCCCAATATGGTTCCCAGGTGGATCCAAAGAACTACGTGCTTCCATTTAATGAGAAACTTCAGATACACAACCTGTTTACCCTTGATAATTGACTCCTATCCAAAATTTGCTTCAGGTTCATCAACAATTTCTGCTACATAATTGGGAATATCAACCTGGACAACAACGATCAGTTCCAATCCTTTCTTCAATTGTGACACATGAAAAACTGGATGAATTTTTGCCTGATCAGGTAAATCCAGTTTATAAGCTACTTCACCAATTTTCTCTAGATTTGGTATGGTCCATAAAACTTTGGAGAGAGCTTGTGGGTTTTGTATGAAGACACACTGACTTGCTATATGGTTGTAGCTTAAGGAAAACCCATTCTCCCACTTCAAAACTTCTGTAACTCCTGCTGTTTGTCAGCATGTCTCTTCATTTGTTCAGCTGTATTTTTCAAAACTATCTTTAATGAACTGCAAGGCTATATCTCTGAGAAAGGACTTCATCCACGCCTCAACCTGCAGCTCTTAGGACATATGAAAGCAAGAAGGAGGAGGCCTACCATATACTACTTCAAAAGGAGTAGACTGTGTTAGAAATTTTCCATGTAGTGTTGTACCAAAATTCAGCCAAGGTTAACCACCTTACTCCATTCTTTGGGTTTGTGAGAACAAAAGCATCTTAAGTAGCTCTTCCAATTTTTTGTTAGCTAACCTCAGTCTGTCCATCCGTTTGTGGGTGATATGCTGTACTAAATTTCAGCTGGCTTCCTTGTAATTTGAAATAATTGCTCTCCCAAAATAACGCTTGTAAACAGGGAGTCTCTATCACTGACAATAGATTTGCATCCCATGCAACTTGAATACCCCTTCAAAGAGACCTGAGCAACTATCTGAGCAGTGTAGCGATGTGAAAGAGGGAAGAAATGCGGATATTTAGAAAGCTGTCAACAAACTACAAAGATAACAGTTTTGTCCCCACTTTTTGGAAGATGAGTAATAAAATCCATAGATAGATCTTCCCAAAACATAATCTGGAATTGGAAGTCGGCTGTAGAAGTCCTGGAGATGCCACATTTCCCCCTTAGCTCTTTGACAAACATCACAAGCTTGTACATATCTCTGAACATCTTTTCTTTCATCCCCTTCCAATAGAAAGATCTCCGCAATCTGTGCAAGGTCCTGACAATTCCAGAATGACCTGCTATAGGGCTGTCGTGAATGCTCTTTAAGTAAGGATGTTTTAATATTTTGAGCTGTAGGACTAATCAGAAATTTCCTTTATAATAATACATCCCTTCCTTCTTGTGATATTTGTTATCCTCCAACTGTCCCTGCATAATTTGGCATCAGCCTCTGCAAAATACTCATCTGTGGAGTACATATGCTTGATTTCTTCCAACCAATCATGTAAGAATGTAATGCTGAAGCTTTCCACTTCCTGAGGTGAGGCATCTTCTGTCAGTTTCCTGCGATCTTTGACATCCATCTGCTGCTCTATTTTAGTCTTCTGGCTTAATATTCTACCCTGTAGTCATAACCATGGAGCCTTAGCACCATTATATTCTGGATTCCAGTGTGAATTCTTTGCTCCAGTAAGATTCACTTAAGACTTGCATGATCAGTTCTAATCACAAAACTTCTCCCAAGAGGTTACTGCTGCCCATCATCTTTGTAGAAAGGATAACGCGGCCTAAGAGCTCCTCTTCCATAGGGTCGACAGTGCTAATGTTCCCTCCCCTTCAATGCCAGAGCTAAAAATAGGAAATAGGTCTCTCATTTTCCATCAAACTGCCACCAATCGCTGAAACGCTGAAGATCTACACTCAAGTAATAAAATTAAGTCTTAAAATCTTGGCCATTGCTAAGCACTGACTGTGGCATGTGTTAAAGATTCTTTAAGCCTCAAAGGCTTTCTCAGCATTTTCCCCCACAAGGCTCCTTTCTTCAACAACTGGTAGAAGTCCTGGAGATGCCACATTTTCCCCCTTAGCTCTTTGACAAACATCACAAGCTTGTACATATCTCTGAACATCTTTCTTCATCCCCTTCCAATAGAAAGATCTCCGCAATCTGTGTAAGGTCCTGACAATTCCAGAATGACCTGCTATAGGGCTGTCGTGATGCTCTTTAAGTAAGGATGTTTTAATATTTTGAGCTGTAGGACTAATCAGAAATTTTCCTTTATAATAATACATCCCTTCCTTCTTGTGATATTTGTTATCCTCCAACTGTCCCTTGCATAATTTGGCATCAAGCTCTGCAAAATACTCATCTGTGGAGTACATATGCTTGATTTCTTCCAACCAATCATTGTTAAGAATGGTAATGGCTGAAGCTTCCACTTCCTGAGGTGAGGCATCTTCTTCAGTTTCCTGGATTCTTGACAATCCATCTGCTGCTCTATTTAGTCTTCCTGGCTTATATTCTACCCTGTAGTCATAACCATGGAGCTTAGCAAGCCATTTATTCTGGATTCCAGTGTGAATTCTTTGCTCCAGTAGATACTTAAGACTTTGATGATCAGTCCTAATCACAAAACTTCTTCCCAAGAGGTACTGTTGCCATCTCTTTGTAGAAAGGATAAGGGCTAAGAGCTCCTTCTCATAGGTCGACAGTGTAATGTTCCTCCCCTTCAATGCAGAGCTAAAATAGGAAATAGGTCTCTCATTTTGCATCAATACTGCACCAATCCCTGAACCTGAAGCATCACACTCAATAATAAAAGTTAGATTAAAATCTGGCATTGCTAAGACTGGTGGATGGGTTAAAGAATTCTTTAAAGCCTCAAAGGCTTTCTCAGCATTTTCCCCCCAACCAAAGGCTCCTTTCTTCAACAACTGTGTCAAGGGCTGAGCTATAAATCCAAAATTCTTGATGAATTTTCTGTAGTACCCTGCTAATCCTAGGAACCCTCTCAATCCTTTCAGTGTTTTGGGTCTTGGCCAGTCCACAATAGCTTCAATTTTCCTTGGATCCACACCAACCCCATCCTGAGACACAATATGACCCAAATATTCCACTTGTGTCTGTCCAAAGCTGCATTTAGATATTTTGGCCACTAGTTTATGATTCCTCATTATCTGAAATACCTGCCTTAGATGAGACAGATGATCATGCCACCCTTTGCTGTAGACCAATATATCATCAAAGAAAACCAAAATAAACTTCCTGAGGAAGTCTTTAAAAATAGTATTCATCAGGGCTTGAAAAGTTGAAGGAGCATTAGTGAGCCCAAAAGGCATTACCAAAAATTCATAGTGGCCACTGTGTGTTCTAAAGGCAGTTTTAGGAATGTC